ATGCTGATGTCAGGGTCAGTAAGAGAAATGCCCTCGATAGAATAACCTGTTATCTGATCATAAGATAGCAACGTACCTCCATAACCATCTAAAGAAGGGCTGATTGTTAGAAATATAAACAATGCAATTCATAGATCCAAAATACCTTTATACATACCTTGTCGAGGCAGATAATCAAGGTTACAACTTTGTATATTAATACGCACTTGACCTATTTGCTCATCAAAAAGCAAAGGTGGTGATTGTGAATAAAAAAGAACCGCAATATATTATATAGAAAATAAAATAGCAAAACTATTTTTTCGAGAGTTAAAACATTGGAAGACACTTACCAGTGGTGGAGAGTGGTTGCACGATGATATGGATGCGTTCTTCTGGGGGTGTAACTGAGAAAACGTTTTGAACCAATTTAGAATCGTTCAACTTATCACCTCCAAATTCATTTTTAATGTCAATTTCGGTATTTTTAAGTTTTTCTATGTTTTCATCGGTTTCATCGGTCCCAACCTTCCAAAGATGCATTTTAAAGCTACTAATATCGTCTCTCTCCTCCAAAATTAATCTCTTGAGAAGTCCAACATTGAATTGATCAAAAGGGATTATATTATTTTTGACTATAATTCTTTCTCCAAGAACAATCGGAAAACTAAAAGTTTCACCTAGGACAAAACAATTTAAAATCATTTTGGCCAGATTTCTGCGAACGCGAAAAAAACGGAATTAAAAACAAGGTTCAAAAAGTTAATTTTTCAGTAAAGTATAAATAAAGACCTTTTTGGATATAGTGTTAGACTGGTAAATAGGGATTCTTCCTCAACTCTAATTTGGGACATCGGAAGGCGAAAGAATAGTTTGTACCTGGGGTTGCAAGAGAGACATTTTGAATTATATAAGCGAGACTTTATACGTAATTATGTATTAAATTTGTAAGATAAATTGAAGGTATATTTATCCGATACCGGAGATATGAGATACATATTATTAGATATGTGGAACTAAATCCTTGACAAATTTGTCGGATAGAAATTTTACAAGAGATATTATAGATCAAAAATTGATTAACGAAGTCCTTAATTTTTTGTATTCTTTTCGGAAGGATTTTCATCGTACCACACTTCAAGAAGAAAAATTCCATTATTTTGGCATATACATCTTTTTAGCCAACAATATCCTCGAGTTTTTTGACATCTTTATACCAGCTAGTGCTATGGAGCCGATGCTGAATTTCTGAAAGAAGGCATCAAGTTCTAATCCATTCAAGAAGGGAGGACGATACTCCATTATCGGCTTTCTCCAACTCTAGTTCTTTTTTAAATTCATCTAAATCCTGTTTTAACTTTATATTCTCAGTTTCAACTTCTTTGTCATTCTTTAACTTCGTATTCTCGGTTTTGATTTTGATACTCATTTTTTAATTCAGATACTAAATTGTAGAATTTATCATGAATTCTCGCCCTATCAATAAAACGAAAGCCAAGAATGAATTGCAATTTCTTTACCAATTCATTGATCTCTTAATCTTCAAATGATCTGGGTTCAAGAACTCGTTCGAAAATCATTTCTTCTTCAGAGAATATTTTACCTCATTCCAAAGATCTTCAAATCGTTGCCACACCAATTCTGGTAAATTAATTTTGGGTTGTGTATTTGCCATGAAGAATCAGAGTTTATCCAAGGATCAAGGCCGGTTTCTTCCTTATAACGTTTATATAACTTAGGACGAATCTCATCTATCGAAATACCTGGCGATACAATAATTTCAGCTTGCCACTCCAAATATTCAGGAGTTAATGTTTTATGAGTTTTTGATTCTGTGATTTGCTCTTCCATATTAACGTTTTACATGATCTATCATTTGTTATTTTTTTGATGGATACGACGTTTCTTAATTTCATGTTCATCGCACATTGTAATCCTATCCCTTAATAACCCCACAATCAATCCAATTACCGTTTTAACTCCTTTTCTAATTGATTCAAGATCCTCCTTCAATGCCAGTCTGTGGCTAGAAAAGAGATAATCAGGAAATATATAACATGAATTACCAGGATAATAAAATTTTTAGCGGAGCAGTTATCAGAGTAACATTAACTTTGCTATGCCTGTAGAGACTATCCCGTAAATATAATCATTATCATTTTCAAATGCCTGCTCTGCGGTTCGCTTCCTTTTATTCATATGACGCGCTCTCTAGTTGTTTTATATTTTGGAGGTACCCGATTTCAACATTACGTGGTTTCCCCTCCGCTATACATATAAGATCTTCATACCCTTTTATTGAATAGTCAACACGTCCAGAGCTATCTTCGCCGGATACATCATCTTGGTATGCAATATATATTTTTTCATTATTGGTGAGTTTTCGAGTAATTGCTATTGATGCATTCAGGATAGAAGTAATAAAAACACAGCGGGTTGCTTCATTGGTACTGTCCTGTATAGTCTCCAAATTCGAAAGCCTTAATATAATTTCCTTCATACACTGTTTGAGATCTTCATCATCACCAATTTCCTCGTAAACTGTAAAAAAAAGTATCGTTAATCAACTGCCTTCAGTAGTACAAGTATTCTCTTACAAGAAGGAATATATATCATTTACCTAGATTAAATTGCTTTATACACGTAATTTTTTCACCATTGACTTTATATTTACGGAGTAATGTTTTCAGTTTATCTAATGAATTATATGATGAGAAAGCCTGTAATTTTGTTTCATTAAGCCCTTCGATGAATTTCGATAGAATTATGGTGGGACCCATTTCAAATCCACATCGTTCAAGTCGTTCTTCGGTTAATTCAAGAAAGGGAAAAGCCAGTTATTTCTCTTTGTCGAAAAATCTCAAAGTGGGACTCGTTAAAGTTTTAAATTATTTCTCCGTAAATAATCAATAAGCTCCTCAGTATCATAATCTTTAATAACGTCTCCCATGATACGAGTTATTTCTTCTTCGTCAGAATATATGCTTGAAGGTGATGCAGGTTCTGAATGTGTGGACATTTTTATAGGTATCGTAAACAAAGAATTACTGCAAGTTGAAGGATTTAAATATGATAATAAGAAAAAAAATTTATGATTCGGTTTGTGTGGGAAAATTTGTTATATATCGTAAGATCTGTTACACAAATAATCAGGAGATATACAAGGGTTGGAATAGAACATCTATTACATATACAGATTACCGTAATTCGCATTCTTGGGTATCCCCATTATAAGGTATTCCCCGTGATTTGTCCCCGGGTATACTACTTGGTATTCAGGTTGATAGAACGTACTGTACCCGGGGTATTGTATAATATCTTTTGTAATTGGTTTTCAAATATACTATTCAATATTTAGCTTTTTTATTTATGCCATGGGTTTACATAATTAGTTTCATCTTCATAATAACTATCAAATGTATCTCTATTACTTTCTTCTAAATTTCCAAAATCAATATAATCATCAATATTACTATTATTTGTAATATTAGAAGCAGTATTTGAACTTATTCCAATTTCAAGTTCATTATTACTGATATTATCTTCTTCTTCAAATCTGTAAAAAATACCTCTTTGATTAGTTATAGTTACTTAATCATAATCAAAGATTAAATATTTCTCAGATCCATTTCGAGTATTAGATATACCACAGTATTTGAATGATTGAGAAACCATCTTTAGATCTATATTTTCTCAAGTAGTTTTAACCTATTATGTAATGATAGAATATATAAGATGTTAAATACGACCAGCAGAAGTAAGTTGATAAACTTTTTCAATCATCTAAGTATTATATTATTGACATATCTGTATTAACAAAAAAATAAGATAAGATAAAAATAGTTTGAAGTATTATATTTTTATAATAAATTATCTTTATCTTGAATGGTTTGTTTAATTCAACATCTAATAATTAAAGTTTTGAAGTTAATCCATCAGGAATAACTATAATATTAGTTACTTTTTTATCAAAATATCATTTAACAGAATCAACTAAATATTCAGCAAAAGAATTCAATACTAAAAGAGATCAGAAATTGACAGATAATGATATCTGAGTATTCTACATATTCTCAATTCAAAATAGCATTTCTTCTTTATTCATCTATTTTTTTTTTGTTGGCTCTAATTATTATATCTGATGAAAATTCTTGATTGCGTGGAACTTTAGCCAGCTTGAATATAATTACAAGTGGTAATTTTTTATTATTAGCCATGCATGCTAAAATAACTGTAAAATTTGATTTTTCATGTTTACAGGTACAAATTTCAATTATGTAAGTATCAATTTTATCAATCATTATTTGACTTGAAAGATCAAAAGATACAGAAATTTTATCCATATTATCAATTAAAGAAGCTGGATAATCAAATTATATTCGTCAATATAATATAAATGTCAAGAATTCATATTGTTTTTCTTCAAGATCTTTAGGCAAATATTATACTATAGTTGTTTGATGGTAATTACTTAATTAATAATAGTACAAAAATCTATCTAACTATTTGTTGCTAAAGTTAAACTGGTCAATACTAGGATATATATCCTTAAAAAAGGAAGATCTGATAAGTATTTTTATTTTGATTTGAATCATACTTCATGATACTTCTTTGAGTTATAATCAAAGATCTCTAATCCATTCTTCAATATCATTTTCAAGCTCAAGATACTTGAATCTTACTCCTATATTAAGTTATCTAACTTGAGACCAGATATTCATAAGCAAAGTCTTGTTTTTTTTTATTTTCTGATTTGTACTGGCTTGATATTAAACTCATTAGCAGTTGCATATATATTTTTTATTAGATATTTCTTCAAATAGGTTAAAATTAAGAGTTTTTCATGCACTATTCATGATCTTTTTTTGGTTTTAAGAATAGAATTCTTTATTTGCATATTTTATTATTAAAATTTATTCAGGTTATTAATCTCATTAAATATATATAAATTTTCTAAACTTTTCTTATCAAGTAGACACAAAAAGATATGAAAAAAATAAAAAATAAGAGGTATTGATCATTACTAAAAACTGATTTTTTTTAATCAAAATTTTGCAATATACAGATATCTCATTGCCAAATTTAATTATTAATACTGTATAGAATATCCTCCATGATCAGTACTCTCATTATACAGTACCTCCCTAATTGTATATCTATCATTGGATAATATATCCTTTCCAGATACAAATCAAGTTTCATAAGCCTAGAATATAACATATCTGAATACTCAAGAATGTGAATTATAATATATAATACAAGAAGATTGATATATTAATATAAAAATTAATAATTACTTCTAATAAAAATCATTCAAATTTTAACTAATCTTAATAATTTTTTTATATTAAATAAAAAATAGTCTAAATTAACTTTTTATATTATTTTAATTATTTTATTATACTTTAATTTAATAATAAATGAAGTATTACTTTATTAAAAAAACTAAAATAAAATTATTTTTTTTTAAAAAAAGATATTTTAAATATTATTACTATTAATT